CAGATTGAGGCATCCTCCCTAATCTCAGACTGCAAAACATGAGTACACATGAATATTGTGCTAGTGACAAGTAAAGGTAATTCAGTGCTGGCAAGAAATTTGAAAATCAGGACTAACAGAAAACTTTGAATGTACCAGCCCTATGTTGTGGATATTGGACATTTAACATCTTATGTATTTGGTGACTCACCTTAACGAGGACGTGGTGTTTGAGCCTCATCATCGTGTCAGTCCTTATGACTCCTTTCTGAAATGCCACGCGTTCGCAAGTTTCGGTGAACTAGCAATATTCCTATGATTCCGTCTTACTGTTTCATATCACAAATGATTTGAAATAAAATTTTTCGAAATTAGTGGAGCGAAAACGTTTTTCACAGTGCTGGCTCATTGTCACAAGGCATCTCAAAAGGAATGGCCAACAAGTCGGCCTGATCTACCTTGAAATGAGATGCGCATTTTCTGGGCCTTTTGAGGCTGAGCGCAGAACTGTATCTTATACCAACTATGACTTCCTTGAACGGTGTTTTGAAACGGAATGCGTAAGCGCTAAAGGAACGTCCGATGTGGCTAGTATGCAATACAGTGCGGGTAAAAAACCTTTAAAACTCCGTCCAAATCACAGTTTAGTAGGTATGGAAAGCAGTTCTATGCTGTTTCTCAAAGCAAACGCAGTGATTCTGACTTCATTGCAAATGATTGAACCGACCTACTGACCCTCCCTGGTTATGCGTACGCGACTGAAGTTTACTCGGTGTGAAACAAGTCATGCTATGTACTGGCTAGCCAGCACTGCAGGATCTACATAATAGCCACATAAGTGACAAAGGCACCTTTAGCTGCTACAAGACGTTGTGGGGCTCCTTTCTCTTCAGATCAGGACCTATATGACCACTATTTCCATAAAAGTTTTTTTGAAAACTTATGCATTATATGGGGAAAAGATTATATGATTGCTTGCCTCGATCACAGGAATCGGATTTTCATGATATTATATTCCATTATTTATGTGAGCAATATTTTTTTACTTTTTCTCTGGACCTCGACATACCACTCCTGTTACTCCACTCTGTTTAGAAACTATAGAAGCTTGGTGGGTCTCTTTGTATATGTCGACATGTACCCTCCCCTTCAAAAAGCGAGAAAGTGTCGGGTGCAGACCATGCACCACAAGTGACGACGGCCTTCACAAAATGTTAATGTTTTCTGCCAATGAAATGATTAGCCTGTTGCAGTTGTATTCTATCGATTGTCACTAATTACAACTATCATTTACCAGAAATCAGCTATCACTATGAACAACTTCTAACCAGATTTACTTGGAGGCCGTCGTCAGTTGTGGTGTTTGGTCTGCACCCG